TTGAAATATTGTGTAGTCAAATCTTCAAATGGAAGTAACATCATAATTATGATATCTTATAAATCTTCTCTAAAACAACTTTAGCGTGAGATAATGTCTTTATTTAGCCTTATAATATTTTAGATGCTTAAACAAAATGTTCAGATATATTTTTTTTACATATTCTATCTATATGTATATATATATATATATATATACTCACATATACGTAACACATGTTAAGTTTAATTATTATTAGACATGTTTTTTTTTTACAAAATAGTTTAAAAAATCTTACATGCACATCTATACTTATATAAAAAGGCATTTCAATTACTACAATTTGTAGTAAGAAAAGTCAAAGGTAATTAATGCATTCTATTTCCATCAAATATTTTATTTAATTGTTTTAGTTAATTTTATTATCTCATAACACCTTTTCAATACAACTTACCATGATTTTTCTATTGGGATTAAAAACCAAATTTTACGTTTAAAATATTGTGAAATTATTATTATTATTTTTATAAAGTACATATTATTTGTTAAAAAATTGTATATATATATAATACACATCACAGTACCATGGTAGATGATTTAAATTTCAACCGACCAAAATGCCAATGATTTAAATTTAAACACACATATGCGTTTGACCAAATGTCTGGATGATTTAAAATTGAACCCATCAAAAATTATTTAAATTCTAACACACCATAAATTTTATGTACTTTTTTTATTTATAAATATAACTCTGCCTATGTTGTCTCAACATAGCAGGTCCCAAGCCCTGGTAAAGGAGGAGAGTTGTGATAGGCTTGGCGAGCCAACGTAAAACCTAGTCATTCTATGGAGATGAAACACAATAGATATTCTTTGGGGCGTAACCCTCTTAGCGATGCGCCATATCGGAACCCGGGTATGGTGTCAAATGGGCAAGGGTCGGGTCGTCTCCCCCTCGGGGACGCGCCATGTCGTGGTTTGGGCATGGTGTTAAGTGAGCAAGGATCGAGTCGTCATTTCCTTAGTGGCGCGCTACATCAACGCCCGGGTGTAGTGGAAAATGTGCAAGGGTCTTCGCATCTCTCTCGGCGGGTGCGAAGGGCAAGGAAGCTAGTCGAACCAACTAGGGTCCGAATAGGTAGTTGGAACGTAGGGTCCCTAACGGGTAAGCTACGTGAGCTAGTCGATACAGCTACTAGGAGGCGTGTAAATATCCTATGCATCCAGGAGACTAAATGGAAGGGGCAGAAGGCGAAGGAGGTGGAGGATACTGGCTTCAAGCTTTGGTTCACTGGGGCTTCATCGAGTAGGAATGGTGTAGGCATCCTGATCGATAAGAGCCTTAAGGATGGAGTTGTAGATGTTAGGAGGCAAAGCGACCAGATTATTCTAGTCCGATTGGTAGTTGGGGATGTGACCATGAATGTGATCAGTAACTATGCCCCTCAGGTAGGTCTTAGTGAGAGCGCCAAGAGGCAATTCTGGGAGGATCTGGACACCTTGGTCAGTACGGTGCCTGCCAGCAAGAAGCTCTTCGTAGGAGGAGACCTAAACGGCCATGTGGGCGCGACTAATGTAGGTTTCGAGAGAGTGCACGGAGGGGTTGGGTATGGTAGTAGGAACGAAGAGGGAGAGGGTGTGTTGGACTTTGAGATGGTCTGCGACTTGTTGATAGCGAACACCCTCTTTATGAAGCGGGAATCTCACGTAGTGACCTTCCATAGTGGACGACACTCAAGTTAGATCGACTTTATCCTTGCAAGGAGGAAGGATAAACGCGCTTGCGTAGATTGCAAGGTGATACCTGGGGAGTGTTTTGTCCCCCAGCATAAGCTGGTGGTGGTGGACTTTCGACTCCGAATACGTGTCCACCGGGACAAACGTGCCAAGACTGTGAGAACGAAGTGGTGGAAGCTTAAAGGGGAAGCGACACAGACATTTAGGAATAGGATGCTAGGCGAGGGCCTTGGGAAGAAGGAGAAGATAAAGATGACATGTGGCTAAAGATGACAACATGTGTACGGAAGGTGGCTGCAGAAGTACTTGGTGTGAGTAGGGTAGGCAAGCAGGCTGCGAAAGACACTTGGTGGTGGAATGAGGAGGTGCAAAGGGCTATTCAGGAGAAGAAGGAGTGTTTCAAGAGTCTCCACCTTGACAAGAGTGCAACCAACATTGAGAGTTATAAAATAGCGAGGAGGGCTGCAAAGCGTGCTGTGAGTGTAGCGAAGGGTCAGACCTATGATGACCTTTATCAGTGCCTAGGCACAAAGGAGGGGGAGAATGACATTTATAGGATAGCTAGGAGTCAGGAGAGGAAGACAAGAGACATCAACCAAATCAAATGCATCAAGGATGGGTCGGATCGACCACTGGTGAAGGATGGGGAGATTAAGGACAGATGGCGAGAGTACTTCGACAAATTGTTGAATGGGGATAGTGAGGTTCCTACCCTTGAGTTGGTTTACTCATTTGAGGATACCAATAAGACGCTTGGTGAGGAGAATCTGAGAGGCAGAGATCGGAGAGGCTATGAAGAGGATGAAAGGTGGTAAAGCAATGGGCCCTGATGGTATCCTCATTGAGGTGTGGAGATGCTTGGGCGCTAGAGCGTTAGTATGGCTAACTAAGCTTTTTAACCTCATCTTCCGGTCAAACAAGATGCCTGATGAATGGAGGAGAAGTACTTTAGTACCGATCTTCAAGAACAAGGGTGATGTTCAAAGTTGTGGTAACTACCGTGGGATTAAGTTGATGAGCCATACGATGAAGCTCTGGGAGAGGGTTATCAAGCATCGCCTACGACGAGTGACGATCAGTGTGACTCAAAACCAATTTGGATTTATGCCTGGAAGGTCGACCATGGAGGCGATTTTCCTAATACGACAGTTGATGGAGAGATATAAGACCAAAAGAAGGACTTGCACATGGTCTTTATCGACCTTGAGAAAGCTTATGACAGAGTACCGAGGAATGTCATGTGGTGGGCCTTAGAAAAGTACAAAATCCCATCTAAGTACATTACCCTCATCAAGGATATGTACAAGAATGCGATGACGTGCGTCCGAACATGTGGGGGCGATACCAGCGACTTCCCAACTAAAATAGGACTACACCAGGGGTCGGCATTGAGCCCCTATTTATTTGCCTTGGTGATGGATGAGGCCACAAGAAACATACAAGGTGATATTCCTTGGTGTATGTTCTTTGCTGATGATGTGGTGCTAGTTGACGAGAGTAGGGCAGGGGTAAATAGAAAGTTAGAGCTGTGGAATGACACGTTAGAGTCGAAAGGCTTCAGATTTAGTAGGTCGAAGACCGAGTACATGACGTGCGCTTTCAGCATGGCTACTCATGATGATGGTGGCGTTAGCCTTGACGGGCAAGTGGTGGCCAAGAAGGAGACTTTCCGGTATTTAGGATCGATGCTTCCAAAGGATGGCAGCATTGATAAAGATGTTAGGCATAGAATTGCAGCCGGTTGGTTGAAATGGCGTCAAGCTTCAAGCGTTCTCTGTGATAAGAGGGTGCCACAAAGGCTAAAAGGTAACTTCTATAGGACGGCGATTCGCCCGGCGATGTTATACGGTGCTGAATGTTGGCCTACAAAAAGGCAACATGTACAACAACTAAGTGTAGTAGAGATGCGGATGTTGCGTTGGTTTTGCGGGCACATAAGAAGGGATAAAATCCGGAATGAGGATATTCGAGATAGGGTCAAGTGGCTCCAATTGAGGAGAAATTGGTTCAACATCAGCTGAGGTGGTTCAGACATGTCCAACGGAGGCCTCCTGATGCACCGGTGCGTAGGGGGGTTCTACAGCAGGCCGATGATGTTAAGAGAGGTAGAGGTCGGCCTAAAATCACTTGGGAAGAGTCGGTCCATAGAGATCTTAAAAATTGAAATATCTCCAAGGATTTAACGGTGATAGGAGCGCTTGGAGGCTCGCGATCAACGTGTCGGAACCGTGACTTTTGCTCCTTTCTCTTTTGTTCCAATCTCTTCCTTTTGTTTTGTTTTTGTTTTGAGTTTTGTTTTGTTTTGAGCTTTTTTTTACTACTGTTTCTCTTAGGTTTCATCTCTAGCCTACCCCAACTTGTTTGGGACTAAAAAGCTTTGTTGTTGTTTTGTTGTTGTTGCTTTATTTATAAATATATTGAAAGTGGTATTTAATAACTATATAAACTATTTTAATATATTTGCAATGAATAAAAGTTTGAATGAATAATTTGTAATGTTATTCATAATGTTTGTGACTTATGGCACGAACACATAACTCCATACATATTTGCTAGAGGGCGGCTTAATAATTTTTTAGACTGGACGTTGCTTAAAAAAAGTATAAAATAAATAATAACATTTTTACTTTTAGACTTAAACGAACAAGACTGTGAAAATAACTCATTTAATATCTTTGTCCCGTGCATCGCACAGGGTACGTACTAGTTCTCCTTAATTTCCAATCATTTGTGGGCATTCTATAACATATATAGGAAAAGCCAACAATCCTAATCCTATTAACATTCTCCACGTTCTAACATAATTTATTGCCCAATCAAATATCACAAATTGAACTATTTAATATTAGAACATTAATAATCAATTAAATGCATATTCACCTTAAATTGAGTTTAACTATTAATTCAATTAGATCCAACTAATTATAAGATCAAAAAACAACGGCACACCATAAATCAAATGATTGCATGATTTTGAGATAAATTACCATAAATACCTATTATTAATGAGCAATTCTCAAGGTTTGCATCTTAAACTTCCCTCAAAACCCATGGTTAAAAAATCCCCCTTAACACAATAACAACATCCACACATAAATCCACATTCCCTTTTTATGTCAGATATTGGTAAATTTGGAAAAGCATGGAAAAAAAAAAAATTAGATAGCAGGACACAATCATCATCATCTTGTTCACGGGCACACGACGAAGATCAACAAAGAATTCGGGAACATGAATCGGCAAACATATTAATCTTGGAAATAAAATAAAAATTTCAAGTGCTAACAAGGAATTTGCTCTGTAAACCACTTCATGACAGAAAAGGGGGCTTTAATGAGCCCCAGCGCTAGCTCTACGATCACCGTCACGCACAGGCAACACGGGCACAAGCAACTCACCACAGTCCTGCATTTAATTTCAAGAAAACCCTTTTATTAGATTACAAGAGAGAGAGAGAGAGAGAGAGAGAGAGAGAGAGAGAGAGAGAGATTGACCCGAGAATCCAGATAAGGACGCCGACGAGAGAGAGTAAAAGAGAGACGAAGGCGAATGGGAGGCCCAAAAGGAAGCCTAAAGGCCGACACTGACAATCGTCCCCACAGCACATATCTGCTGCTGCAACCAATCGCTCAGGAGTTCAATTTGTCCTGGAAAAAGATAAACCAAGTTTCAGGGCAGCGGCCAATCTTGAATTTTCTTAGCTATTTATTTATTTACGTGTTGGGCGGGCCCGCATGGAGCAAAGTAATGATGCACGCGTTTACGCAAACTAATAATTGCCCCACTTGGACTTGGCTTTGCTAGTTATATTTTAATTTACAATATAATAGACTATATATAACTATTTGACAAAGAATAATTAGGATGTGTTTTTTTTTTTTTTT